GCCCCCCGCCAGTCGCTGGGGGGGCCCCCCTCCTCGGGGGGGGGCCCCCGCACGCTCTCCGACAGCGACGCCGAGCGGCGGCCCCGCGCTGCTGCTGCTGCTGCTGCTGCTGCTGCTGTGAACGCGGGGGGCCCCACAGTCGTCCCCAAACTCCGCAGGGGCCCCGAGTCCCGCCGAGACCCCTGGGAGTCCAGGGGAGTCTCCACTTCGAGGGCCCCCCGGAGACTGTCTCCGTGGTGGGTGGCGTGCAGAATGGCTGCTGCTGCGGCGTCCTTCGACGGCAGGCTGCGCGGGTCCGCTGCTGCTGCTGCTGCTGCTGCTGCTGCTGCTGCTGTCGACGGGTACTCCCGCGACAGCAACTCCAAGTCCTCCTCGTCCCCTGGAGACACCTGCCGCAGCGGGGTGTACATACGCCCCCGCGTTATGCGCTCCGGCCGCGGCTCCATCTTGGCAGCATTGAAGCAGCAAAAGAAGCAAAACTAATTCAGGCTGCGATGCATAGGCTAAACCTCCCGCTGCTGCTGCTGCTGCTGCTGCTCCTGCTGCTGCTGCTGCTGCTGCTGCTGCTGCAAACCGAACGGCCGGCCCAGCGGCTGCTGCTGAGCCTTCCGGGGGCCGCTGCAGCAGCTGGGGCGCAGAAGCGGTGGAGGCGGCAAAGGAAGCGCAGGAAACCGGCAGCAGCCCGCTGCAGCAGCAGCAGCAGCAGCAGCAGCGGCAGCAGCAGCAGCAGCAGCAGGGGATTGCAGAGCTGCGGGGAGGAAAAGTCAAGGGAGACAAACTTTCAAAACGAATTCATAGGAAATAAAGACAATGACAGGCGCGGCCGACAGCCAGGGGAGCTGCTAGCGCTGCTGGGGCCCCGAGGGTTGGGGTGTACGTACAGCTGAGCTTGCTAGTTTGTTGTTTGGCGTTTTGCTGCAGTTGAAAATAAAAAAGAAAAAGAGCAGCAGCAGCAGCAGCAGCAGAAAGAAAGCGAAAGCTTTTGTGGGCGGAGGCCTGGCGAGACCTGCTGCTGCGGCGAGGCAGCTGCGGTGTACGGACAGCGCGCGGAAGACCTTGCGTGAAACACTTTATTGAAATTTACTTTTTTATTATTCATTTCTACTTTTTAGAAAGAAAGGAAAGTTAAGAACAGCCCAGAGGCCTCCTGGAGTCGTGGCCCACACGCCACACTCCACCGCGCCAGAGCCATTGCCGTCTGGCGGCCGCCGACCCCCTCCCTTCCAGTTTTCTCTTGTCTTTAATTCACTTTCTAAGTCTATTAAGCATTTTAATTGCATTTTTTATTCATTTCCCTTCTTAAATGCCGTCGAAGAGCCCCTCTTGCTCCCTGTCCATTGAGCCGCAGTCGGCAGCGCCAGCCCACGCCAGTGCCTTGTGCTGTTCTTCCGTTTCTTTGCCCCCCAGCTCGACTAAAGCCAACTTTGACTCAAATTTAACATTTAATTCATAATTTAAATTTGTTTTTATTCATTTTAAACTCTTTTCTGCACTATTTGGCCACAAACGCGCAGCCAACTCGTTGCCCGCAGACAGTGAGCAGCACCCACCAGCCGCCCCGCAGTGACTGTACACCCTACGCCAAACAAGCAAGCCTGACACTCAGAAAAGCCTTTTTTGCATTTCATTTATTTTAATTTAATTAATTTGCATTACTCTTCAATGAAATAGATCCCTCCACAACAAGGCACCAGCAGCAGCACGAGCAGCAACACCAGAGCAGCCGCAGCAGCAGCAGCAACAGCAGCAGCAGCAGCAGCAGCAGCAGCAGGCCTCCCCACTTCAAGTTAGGCACATATTTATTGAACACTTGGCTCATATTTTTCCTTTTTCAACTTCATTTTGCTGCAGAGTTCTGCTGGTCGCCCTTTGCAGCTCCAAAAGCTGCCTCAGGGCCTCCCTGCTGCAGCGCCTGCAGCCACAGGGGAGGCCCCAGAAGGTCCTTAGAGCCCCCGTAGGCCCGGGGGGCCCCCTGGGGGCCCCCGGGGGCCCCCCGGGGGCCCCCTGGGGGCCCCTCTAATCGCCTTCTTCGGCTCTTTGCCACTAATGCACAGAAACGACTGGAAAATGTCATTGCAATAATGGGCAAAGGCGAGAGCCAAATTCAACTAAGTCCGGAACAAACTCATAAACAAACTCAGAGTACCTGGTCCTCACAAATCCAGAGGCAGGGGCCCCCGGGGGCCCTCTAAAACCCAGCAAGAGGGGCCCCCAGGGGCCCCTCAAAGGCCAGTAATAAAGGCATTGGGGGGCCTCTAAATCTCAGCAAGAGAGGCCCCCGGGGGGCCCCTCAAAGCCCAGGAGTAAGGCACCCCAGGGGCCCCTTTGAAACCGAATGCGAGGGGCCCTTGGGGGCCCCCACAGGCTCCCAAGTGCCCCTCTCTGGGCCCCTGGGGGCCCTTGGGGGCCCCTGGGAGCCCCTAAGGGCCCCTAAGGGCCCCTGAGGGCCCCTGGGGGCCCATGAGGGCCCCTGGGGGCCTTCTTAAATATGTTTGTAGATTCGAGCACATGCGGAGAGCCAACATAAAGAAATGAGAACAAGTCTTTGAGTGTTTGCATGCAAATAAATGCATTTAATGGACTTTGTAGATATAAATAGAATTTTAAAAAGTCCATATTTATTTCTGGAATTTGCAATGTACCCAAACGTCCATTTATAAGCAAATTATAAGCGTAAAAATGTATTTGTGAGAGGCATATAATGTGAGATAATATATTTCATTAAATGCTTTTATAAATGTGCAGTTCAGGTGATGCATGCAAAAACGGAAAAATACTTCATGCATTTGTATATATATATTTATATATATTTATACATATTTATATATATTTGTATGTATATATATATATATATTTATATATATATTTATATACATGTGTGTATTTATAATGAATATATATTTATAATGAAAATAATGTATTTTTGTAGCTTTGGCTACCTATAGTAGATATATATATATATATATGAATATGTTTGATAAGTTATGTGCGCCCTCACAATGCACGTCTAAGCACCAGACCTAACCCTAAACCCTAAACCCTAAACCCTAAACCCTAGAAAGTAGTGTGGATTGGAAAAGCCCAGCCACGCCATTTCTGTAGCCCCTTAGCCCAAGCAGCTCAGCCCTAAACCTTAGAGGTTTAGGCTGAGGGTTTGGGGGTTTGGGCTAAACTCTTTTTAGAGTTTACGCTGATAGCGGTTTGGCTGCGGGCATTTCTAGGGTTTAGGGTTTAGGGTTTAGGGTTAGGGCTTGGAGCATGCAGTAAGCAGCAAAGCGAAAGCTTCACGCAGGAGAGCAGCAGCAAAAGCTGCTGCTTTAGGGTTTAGGGTTTAGTCTAGAACCACTTCTAGCCTAAACCCTAAAATGGCTTTTAGCTTAAACCCTAAAACCACTTCTAGCCTAAACCCTAAAACCGCCTTTAGCGTAAACCCTAAAATGGCTTTTAGCCTAAACCCTAAAACCGCCTTTAGCGTAAACCCTAAAACCGCTTTTGAGGTAAACCCTAAAACCGCTTTTAGCGTAAACCCTAAAATGGCCTTTGGCCCAAACCCTAAAACAGCGTTTAGCGTAAACCCTAGAAGGGCCTTTCGGGGAAGGGCTGATGCCCCTTCGAGGGTTTTCCTTCCAGGGGGTTCAAAATGGCATTTCTGCGACAAATAAAGCTACAAGTAATAGAAATTAAATATAAATATATTTTAATATATTTGTTAATATAATATATTTGTTTTATTTATTTGATATCTAAACTTCCTACTCAGCCACTTGGGGCTTTTGAAGGCACTTCAGGTGTACGTACAGACAGCTGGGCGCAGAGGGGGGCCCTCAACTGCTGCGCAAATCGCAGCTCTGGGGGCCCCCCTCAAACTCTCCAGAACTTTAGTGCTGCATCTTCCCAAAGAGCTTCCCTGGCCAGTTCTGGGAAAAACAAAGACCATTAAAAGCCCCCAGGGGCCCTAGGGGGCCCTCAGGGGCCCCTAGGGGCCCCTGAGGCCCCCCTAGGGGCCCCCGGGGGCCCCCAGCGGGCCCTAGGGGCCGCCAGGGGGCCCCAGACGCCCCCAGAGGGCCCTGAAGGGACTCAGGGGGCCCTAAGAGCCCTTACGGGGAGCCCTGGCCAGCCTTAGCTATCCCTAGCTAGCCATGGCTAGCCGTATATGTCCCTAGCTACCCCCAGCTAGCCCCAGCTATCCCTAGCTAGCCATAGCTAGCCGTAGCTAGCCACTACATTGCGCCCTAAGCCACGCAGCACCGAACTTTCCAGCCGCTCGCGGCCGCTAGCCGTCATCCGCAGGGGCCCTCAGGGACTTCAGGGGCCCCCAGGGGCCCCCAGGGGCCCCCAGGGGCCCCCAAGGGTACCCAGGGGCCCCCAGGGGGCCCTTGGGGCCCCCAAGGGGCCCCAGGGGCCTTGGGGAATGCGGCGAGGCCTCTAGGCTGTGTGTGGGGCCCCGAGGGGCCCCGCAGCTGAGTAAGTGACCCGCAGCAGCAGATTTGCTGCTGCTGCCGGGTGCATGCACTTGTGGGGCCCCCTGCGGGCGTCTCGCGTTTATCTGTTTCTTTTTGCAAAATAAAAAGTAAATTATTATTTTTAAATATGCTGGAAAGGGTGCAATGCACTGAAGTTGTTGCTTTTCCGGCAGCGGCTGCTGCTGCGGCCTGGGAGCCCGCGTTGCATGCACAGCAGCAGCAGTTGCTGCAGCAGCAGCAGCAGCAGCAGCAGCACTAGGACGTTCTCTGTGTTGCTTTTTTCCACCGTTTTAAAGACAAACAGGAAAGAAGGACATCAGGGTTTTCTTTAGTTTTATTTATTTGCTGTTTTGTCCCCCTTGGCTGCTGCTGCTCCAGCTCGCAGCACAGATCCCTGAGAGCAGCAAAAAAAAAATATTTTTTCTTTTTCGAAGTTTTAAAAAAGAAGCTCACACCACTGCAGCCGGCGTTTTGAGCACTTGAGATCCCAGCTGAGCAGCAGCAGCAGCAGCAGCAGCAGCAGCGACACCAGCAGCAGCAGCAGCAGCAGCAGCTGCAGCGACACCCGCAGCAGCAGCAGCAGCAGCAGCAACACCCGCAGCAGCAGCAGCAGCAGCAGCCACCAGCCGCAGAGCCCCAGCAGCACGCAGGATGGACGGGGGGGCCCCCGGGGGGGCCCCTGGGGGGGCCCCCGGGGGGGCCCCCGGGGGGGCCCCCGGGGGGGCCCCCGGGCACTGCGCGTTTCAGCTGTGGGTGGGAAATGTGCCATTTGATGCTTCGGAAAATGAATTGAAAAATGCCTTATCTGTTGCAGGTCGAGTGCTGGGGGTGCGGGTTAAGTATGACGCAGAGTCGGGTGAGCTGGCTAGCTAGCTAGCTAGCTAGCTAGCTAGCTAGCTGGCTAGCTGGCTGGCTGGCTGGCTGGCTAGCTGGCTAGCTGGGGGATAGCTGGGGGATAGCTGCGGGGTAGCTGCGGGGTGGCT